CGAATAATTGTTGCTTGAACTTATATATATTATTTCCGTGACCTGCAGCGCTAAGAAATAAGAAATAATAGAAACACATATCAAAGTAACCTTGTCCACTCTATCCAGACAGATGTCTTCCAGGTCCTCCATGATAAACTCCAATACTCTAATGTGTCCTCGCTGAGCAGCACAGTGCAGCATACTTAGACCATCCTAACAAACAAATACACACACACACACTGTGAGAAATCGATGAGACAGAAACCTCATACTTTGATTAAATTGTATATCTTACTTTGTTTTCGCAGTTGAGCTTTGCTCCACAGGACACCAGGATCTGTAGGATTTTTAGGTGACCAAACCAGGACGCCAGAAGCAGTGCATTCATGCCAAACTGTAAAGAAACATTTATAACATGTATATCTACATGTATCTGAAGCTGATATCTGAAGCTTCATACAGTGCCCTCAGAAAGTATTCAGTATTCAAGATGATGTTTTGCTAATTTTATCACTTCCTATGTCTATTGTGTGGCATCGGAGAACATCCATGAAACATGCAATATGCTGCTATGAATCAAGTATAGACCATGGGACAATGTGCATGTAAGTAATAACAACTCCCTGTTCTGTTCTGAAACATCAAAGTTCACTGCACCATCTGGACAATGCTGTTCAATGAAAAACCTTCAAAAAGCACTATCAAGGTCTTGGACTTACCTTAAGACATAAGTCTAGTCAACCTGCCACAGCTATGCCTTTCAATGAAAGGTAAAAACCTTTGCAATCTTGGATTCTAAGGTCTATAGATAACAGTGACTCAATACGAAGTTGTTTAAATGACAAGTTGAATGCGCCATGGCGGTCCCTATGTTTTTATTGACTAGTAATTGCAGACATTTCCACTACAGTGTGTCCTCAGAGTCAGTGCAGACAATGTCAAAATAAAGCTCATTATAGAGGCTACAACATGTGATTCATTGAAATGATTAATCTCTCATGCAAGAGACTTCTTCACTTCACTGCCACTGGTCTTGTTAGTAAAGAACAGATTAATATCTTGTGGCCCCAAGTTATTTATCTCTTTCCCACATGCTATTATGTCGTGGACACGTAATCTATTTTTTCCCAAACGTCACCAGGGGGGCTCCATAATTTACATATTCACACAATCAGCTGTCCTTCCTGCATTTAGCAGCTGTAACTGTGTTTTTTATAGGCTGGATAATGTTTGGAAAATCTAAAATTACTAACTTCCTGTCTGGCATTTTTTTGGGGAAAAATATTTAGAATGTACTTAATGATAGGAGCGATGATTAATGTCATCATCTGTGCTTGCGCCCTAATAAAAATAAGTATAGCTGAAAGTGGCAATGATTAGGGTCCAAGGAGCCTGCAACCACTTGGATATCACATTTTGCTAAATTGTTGACAAAGGATATTGACATTGGCTTTAAGGCCTGGACCTCTTGGTTTCCAAACATTCTCAGATCTTATGGCAGTGATATCCCTTGTGTAAAACTGGGGTATTTGTCTATTTAGAGTTTAAATTCTTACAACTGTTTAAATGTTTGTGTGGACATTCTGAAGACAAAAATCACATATTTCTGCAGGAAATTGGAGTATGCATAAATATTTTAGAGACTCTGAATCCAACACTGAGTAAAACAAACAAGATGAATACACCTGCCACAACGAAAATATAATAGGTAACATTTAATTAAAATACTGTAAATACTAATTTTAGAATACTGCTATTAGGAAGAACAGCAACATTTACACATCTTGAGAAAACTCAAAATACAACTCAAAATTAAAAAAAAAAAATTACATTACACAAGACTCTAAACACCAGAAATATGTCAATCTGGAAGGTAGATACATATAAGTCTGCCATACTGATTGTATCAATTTCCAGATAAAAAAAACCCACACATATGTGTACGTACAATGTCCCTCTCATCGACTTCAGTATCATGGTCCAGAAGGAGTCGAAGAGCCTGTTCATTTCCAGCTCCTGCCGCCCAATGTAGTGCTTTCCGGTCTACCTGTGCAAAGGCAAACAGACAGGCCAACAGACAGAGAGACAGACATGGCTTCACAGTTCATGCACACCTCAGATACTGGCTAATAAAAAATGAGCCTTGAAATTATGCTCATCACCTGCCCCTATTAGCACTTAGAACCTGTTACGTGACACCCCAGCCCTGTTTACATGTGACCATTTTCACTGGTTACACATAGCTTGTTCCTTCTCTATAATAGCACTTCCATGATAGCTGTAGCTAATTACATTTAATGGTGGACTCATAAGTCATACCAGTGACTGCACTTCACACAGTACCTTGAACAGCTTTGTCAAAATTTGCCATATTAATGTGCTGTCTCTGCAATGTCAGTTAAAGTATTTGCTCTCAAAAGGTACAGAAGCGTATTGCTGCCACACAAGAAAAAGACAAACAGATCAGTATTAAGTTATAACGTGAAATATTATTGTAATAACAAGATATATTCATGTTGTTACACCAGTCATTGAAAACTTAAATCTTCTGAGACAACAAGACAACAAGTACTGAGTACTGGAGTAGTCATTCTGCACCAAGACCTTTTTCACGGCAGGTAATGTGACATTTAATATGAGGAAAATAATTATTAACATTAAACTGTTTACAAGCTTGCATTGATTCTGAGGTTCATCTAATAACAAAGCTGTTGTGAAAACACGTGCTGTGTTTGAAAGCAATGACTGGCAAGGCCCAGAAAAGTGAAGATGTTCATCTGTTGTCAAGCTTACTTTATTTTTGGCCTTGATGTCCACACCCTTCTTGATCAGTTCCTGCATTTTCCCTGTGTTGTTAATCTTTACAGCATCATGGAACTCCTTCTCTGACCACAGCACTGTCAGGAATGGCAAACAAAAGGGGGATTTAAACATTAAAAATGTTTCTCTATGCCAATGATAATCCACAACAGAACCTGGTTTCCTTTGTATTTGATATAAGACTTGAACAATACACCTGTGTATTATGGGCTGTAGTGATATTTAGCGCTAAACATTTGTACATTGCACCCCGAAGATAAATATAGACAGCATTGTACAGCTGTGCAAGTCATTGCATGTTGCATGATAATTATCTCAATGCACTTTAC